AAAATTTCATTTTTTCTGAAAAGGTGGTGTCTATTTACTTGGGACCATGCTGTGTATTTTGAGAAAATTTTAAATTATAAAAGAACAATATTTTCATGTTTTCCCTTTTGGGGGCATGTAATGTAAAACATAAAAGGTTGTTTTTTAAAAATATTTTATAAATTTTTGGCGCCACTTTAAATAGATAGTAGTAAGAAGGCGGAAATAACTGGTTGTGCAAAGTCAGTAAGAATTGCAAAACAATGAAACTGTTACTAAGCCTTAACAGAATAGACAAAAAGTAAGTTAGAGTAAGAAATTATATAGTAAATCAATTACATTTCTATAATAAGAGAAAGTATAGTAAAAATAAGATTTTCATTTAAAAAAGGAAAATATATTGACTAATTTTATTTTTGAGCATTTTAATGTATTTGATTTATACATGGAGTGTATTATATGTTTGTACATTTGGCAAATATATGTATTTAACTTAAATCATTTATTTTCAGACCTGTGGCTCATATTCAGTCATCATTAATTTAAAGTTGCTGACTTTCGTAACTAAACATTCATATAAAAGTTTAATATTCTGGTTTTATGTTGAATGAATAATCATTCCTTTTTTACTTCAGTATCCTTATTATGTTCAATATACACTTCACATTTTGATAACAGAAAGTAAGTTCAAATTTTACGTAAACATTTATATCTTAAATTATATTATGTACTTACAGTGTAGTACATAAATTACACTGATCAAAGTTCTTGGTACATTATAATTACAATAAACAGAAACCAGGTAAAGAGACATAAAGTAAAGAATAGTAGTAAAGACTTTCTCAAACCCTAAACAAGGATACTCATTGCAACAACACATTAATACACTTACATTATCTATTTGAGTATTTCAATATTGCAACAATACATTAAAACACTTCATTAACTATTTCAATATTGCAACAACACATTAAGACACTTACATTATCTATTTGAGTATTTCAATATTGCAACAATACATTAAGACACTTCATTAACTATTTCAATATTGCAACAACACATTAAGACACTTACATTGACTATTCCAATTTTTAAAAGTTGTCCTCCCAGATTCAGAGTTTTTTTCTCAAATAAACATTCATTGTTCAACCTCAACCCTCTGAGTAGATTCCACTCTCCTATCTTCACCATTTTGTTTACAGTTTCTTCCGGACTTGAACGAAAAGCGTCAACACTTTCTATGACGTAGTTTTCGTAAATATTATTTTTTTCCATGTAATTCTACGGAAAATCATTCACAAATATATCAATAAATAAAGAAATATTGATTTTTTACTTAAAAAAAGCTTAATTTAAACTAAATTTGTCGTAATAATGAGCAAGCAAACCATTCCAATTAGGTTAAAAATATTTTATCCACTGTTTGAACTTATTTGAAGACGTTGCTTTGAGCTACACGTATAGCATTTATAAGAATTTGACAGCAAATATTCATTCATTAGTTAGCTAGGCCGCGTATTTTGTTTTACCCACCATGATACTCCAATCTGAACAAAAAACGTGGTCTGGCTAACTAATGAACGAATATTTACTGTGAAATTCTTTTCAGTGCTATAAGTGTAGCTACAAGTTTGACTGCCAATTTGGATTTCATTCGTTTAAGTTGCACGCTCAATACATTTTTTGGCCGCACCTTTTTTTCACACCTAAGGTGTTTTTAATTAGACTTCTTTTAACAGAATAGACGGGAACAACACTGTTAGGATGGGTAGACCAAGAGGGGGGATGAAATATCCTTCTTTTGTCAAACATAGTCAATTGCTTCTTTCTGTTATAAGTGGCCCGGCATGCTTAGGTAGTTAGGGAGCTCGACTCGCAATCTGCGGGTTCGAATCCCTGTCCCACCAAACATGATCACTCTTTCAGCCGTGGGGGCGTCAATCCCACTATTCGTTGGTAAATGAGTATCCCAAGAGTTGGCGGTGGGCGGTGATGACTAGCTGCCTTCCCTCTAGTCTTACACTACTAAATTAGGGACGGCTAGCGCAGATAGCCCTCATGTAGTATTGCGTGAAATTCAAAACAAACCGATCTAATATTATAAGTTCCGTTGGAGATAGTAAGTTTAGATCAAAGTGCAAGTTGTTGATGGAGATTAGATCATCTATGTAACTAGAAGTATAGATGTATAATTAGACTTTAATACCTGGTTCAAAAATGAATTTTAATAAAAGAACAGATGCACGTCGGCCATGTTTGAAGAGAAATTTGCTCCGATCGAAATACCTTCTGTTTGTTTATACACTTCTACATTAAAAGTAATATAACTATTATAGATAGAAAAAACTAAGTATATTTTTTACATTGATGCTTACTGAATTTAAATTTTGGAATAATTACACAGACCTGCGAATTTAAACTTCATAAAAGTTGTTTTGCTTTTAATAACGGATTTTCCATAATTCAGCTACGCAGATTTCGAAAATAATATTCTTTTTTTTTTATCACGTAAGGATCTTTTACAAATCGGGAAGAAAAAACTTACTTAGATCAAATTATTATTTCGTTTAGCACAATGAACATTGTTTATTATTATTATGTTTGGTAACAAAAACACAAACAAACTGAAGAAAAGAGAAGAACATTGATGTCAAACGAATATGCATCCTCATTCACCCTGATTTTTTGTGTGAAATGTACGTTTTTTAGTCTCAAAACTACGTGTTGTGGTCCTTCTTTTATGTATTGCATTATGACGTTTAGTGAAAAATCTGTACGCGTTGGAGAAAAATGGATATCATTTTCGGACTCAGCGTACAGGAATTACTGTAGAGCGTGTAAAAATTTCAAGACAATAAAACCATCGCAGGCCTGTGTTATTTCTTTGTCTACAAATTTATGAAGTTGATCATTTAAAACTCTGATTAAATATTTCAGATCTATTTTTTTATATAATGTAGTAGAACTATGAGCAACAACTGGATTTAAGTTAGTTAAACATTCCAAAATCGGAATATTGTTTTTAGTGATCCAAGAATAATGGTCCGAATCATTTGATGATGGTAACTTTATTTTTCAAATATAACATCTGGAATGTTACTGAGTACAAAATAAACAAATTTAGTTCTTCTTTATTATTATTATTTAATATTGTCCCCCAGCCTACAGCAAAATGGCTGTGAGTATTTTAATAAAACCTGGGCAATATTATTAAAAGCATCTTTGCGCACTGTGTAGAGTAGTTTTACGTTTATTTGACAACTTAGCAAATAACACCCAATATTTTTAATGTAGTCTGTGGTTTATATAGTGCCATATAATCTGCTACGTGCATACTTCTATATCTGCGTACAGGTCATGGATGTAATTTTATATTTATGTGGCAGGCATGACACATGTACTAATAGCCATTATTAACTCATTGTTGCGTTACGACTGTGAGCGGTGGCACTGTTTTAGATATGTTTTTTTCTTGGGGTTTACCCCTATCTTTGGATAGTGTCATTGATGATGGTCACATTGCCCAGAGTGATCGTGTTTTTATCTTTGCTATGCCCGTTCCTTATGTGAGCTACAGACCTATGATCAAGGCCAGGCTTCACGTCAGTTGGCAGTCGATTTTGAGTGAGCAACTTCATAACAAGCTTTTCCAGATACAGTCTCCTCTTGTTGTTTGGCCGACTCGTTTTCATAAAGATTAGAGAGAAAATGTAGCGTTGTCTAGGCTACGAATTGACCACAGTTTCATTACTCTTTTTATTTTACAAAGGACTGATCCGCCAATGTGTGGTCTTTGTGGCACTCAAGTCACAATTGTCCACACTTTACTTTCATGCCATTGCTATGACTACCACAGATGGTATAATGTTAGACATGTTTTATGTTGGACAGTGCCATTGGTGATGGTGACACTGTCCAAATTGACCGCTTTTTTAGCTTTGTACGGGCCATTGGTCTTTTTAACTCTATGTATTTTTTTAAATCTTGTTTCATAAAAAATACTATTTTTCTTTCTTTTTTCTACATTTTTTCATATGCTATCTTTGGTTTTGTGACCTTTTCTTATTACTAGATAGCTCTGGTGCTTTGCGCCATTAAGCCTAAAGAAACAAACAACCATGGATAATTAAAGAAAATTATTCAATGAAATTCCAATGAATCAAATTTTCTTGGCTACCTATATATATACACTATGTAAAGAGTAAAAGAACACAAAAACCGGCACAATGAAAAGTTATGTATTTATCATTACTTACAGCCGACTTGTATCGGTAACATGGTTAAAACGCCAGTATCAGCAGCCTTCTTGTGCATTGCCATCTGGCGAAGACCCATTGGTAACTTATAAATGTAAGTTCTAAAGCAATTTCTTCATTACTATATTAAAACTTATCCAGTTATGAGATACCAGCTAACATTTATTAATTATTTGTTGTTGTTTGTTTTCTAGTTGCCGCCTACAAAAATAATAACTGAGTTCGTCTACTCAGTTCATAAAAAGTGAAATACCAGAAACTTTTCTTTTGCCATAGCCTGCGTTGTTTGTCTGGCTGTTGGTGTTGCGATGTTTAATTGCTTGGTTTGTAGCATATCCTTTATAACCTTATTCATGTTGTTCAAGACTAAGTCAACTCGCTTCTTAGCTTTATCCTAAAAATAAAAACGTTTATTCGAATTTATTAAACACATTTAAAGGCAATAAAATGTATGTTCCTTGGTAATAATAATAAATGTTACAATATTAAGATTATATACAGAAATCAAACTTCAAAATATGTAATTAAAATATTATTTTTTTGTCTTGCAAATTAAAACCAATAAAACACATGTAAATGTGTTTATAAATAATATTAGGTTCCACAAAATGTCATGAAATAACATTTACAGTCGCTTACAACAACAAAGGATGTTCACGCGTAATGAAAGAAGTCTTTAATAATAAGTAAATAAAATAATATAATCAACATAAAAAAATAGGCTTAACTAACGCTAAGCATTTTTTAAAATTTTATTATAGCTAATGTAGTTTCGTCTTTTCACGACTTGTCTCTTCTAACATCATTTCCAGCGGAGGATATTAATTAATAAATATACAATAGATGTTTAAAGAAACTTTGTTTTATGGAGGTTATTAAAGTTCAACATTTCAAGCAACAAAAATTATTATCACCAACTTACGATACTGCTATGTTTGGAAAAGTCTAGATTGTCTTCAGGATACACAGATACCACATTAGCTTTGTCAGGAATTATACTAAAAGAGGACCACATCTGCTCGGGAAAGGACGCGAAAGGGTTGATAAAAATCCAGAAACGGTACATATTCAGCAAGTCCATCGACTGAGCCTGGACAGCATATTAAACATGAAGAATGTCATTTTAACATGAAAATAAAAATAACCTAAATTTGAAATAGAACAAACTATAAGAACAGAAATAAACAAATCCTAATTATAATGTTATCCAGAAAGAAACTTCAATTAGATCTAAGACAGAAAAAACAATTTGAAAATATTACATAGTTATATTAATCTAGGCTAGGTTTAGATATACGCTAATTAAAGCAACTGTATTTACTATTTCGTTCGTACGCTGGAAACTGTGTAGTTAGAATTAACTACTACAACTATTTACGCTTAAAGTATTATATTCCTCCCTACACACATAAAGTAGAGGGCATAGCTAGAATAAATCAAAATAGTTTAAAGTGCGTGGTTAAAAACATACACACACATATAAATGTATATATGTGTGTTACAATCTGCTATTTCCTGGACACACGACAGGATAAATTGTTGAAAATACATTGCCGTAGAAAGCACTTTTGGAGTGGTCAGGCCATTGCCACAGCTAAACTACCAGCAGGCAAATCATGTCGTTTCTGGGAGAATCCGGGAGCATGCCACCAAAAAAGTTTTGACAATTTAATGCTATGAGATTGAATCTTGGGCCATTTTAACTACAAATACTGCATACACACAACGTAATGTGTTGAATTAAAAGAAGCGAGTTTTAATACATAAGTATTTGCTATATATGCCTTAAAGCAATTGAAACAGTTTTCGTGTACACACACACTCAGAGAAAGTTATTGTTTTCATATTTGTTTTCATTATTTAGAAAAAAAAAATTAAAAGCTTATAGAAAACTACTTATAGGCTAAAAGTTAATGAAATAACACTATAAAGTCACGACAGTGCCGTCTTTTCCTTAACTTGTTGAAAAAAAGAAACATTGTTCTTAGAGACATTATGTTTTACATTATACTCAGATAACGACAACGATCAAAATACGCCGTAATTATTTATTTTATCCGCTGGTTAACAATATTAATCGTTCGATTTACATTTTATGTAATTTGAATATAAGGCTCTCAAAAGCAAAGACTAATTGAAAGACTTAACGACGAAATCTCAGGATATGTAACAATCAAAGCGTGAAAGCATTATTATTATAAAAAATGTACCTAATGGCGAACATTTGTTAATGTAATTTTAATATGGTATATATATATCGGTTTTCTGACAAGTATTCTGTGTTAATCATTCAAAGGCAACTGGCCCTTCTTTTGTACTAAACGATATAAGGGTCTGTAAAACAATAAAAGCCGCATTTTTGTAGATGCATACATTTGATAATAAGCGTATTTAAAAATTGGTGGTTATCGTTAGGATCAACGGAGAAAAACAAACATGAAATAAATGTGATACATTTTCTTTGTGTGTTTCTGTGGAAAAACCTTTTAAAATTAACGTTTACCTCTTTGAGAACGGCCCGTAATGCGAAATCTTGGCCAACAACAACAAAATAACGGAATTTCGTGTAAGACGACAAAATCTCGCTGAAAATGGTTCGTAGGCTTAAGGAGAAGTGATCTTCACTCAGTTCGTATGTTGTTACGGCGGTCATTTGGGTACCGTTTTCTGATAGCACAAAGTTTTTCACCACAGATTCTAATGTATTTACGTCTGAAATGATAATTATTAATTGTATCGAATAAAACCATCCATCAAATTGAAACTATAAAATATACAACAATCTAGTTGTCAAAAATTCAGCGTCAGCCGGCAGCACACTTTTTAATTCGGTATCGGATTATCCAAACGTTCACTTGCTAAACCAACATGCTCAAACCTAGGCCTATTTACGGAAAGAATTAAAAGTGATTAGTTGTTGGTTTTCGTTGCTATGTTAAACAAGCGATATAAACAGCTTTCTAATTACCTTCACTAATATCCTTTATGCCGGCCGCCAATATACATAAACTGTTTCATGACCATCTTCTGCTACAAAGAACACACTGGTCATCATATTTAGTTCTTTGGTCACCTACAAAAGATCGTCTTTTTTCGCTATGTAGGGTTGGAGAGACCTAACCACATCTTATTTTACCTGTAGTAAAATAGAGGATGAGGAGGAGAAACTCCGCTCTAGAACGATATACGTTAAATTCTAACACGCAAAATTATCGTCAATAAAAAAAGAAAATGATGCTGGAATGTGCATTTCTGTGATGAGAATCTAATACTTTTGAGTCCTGATTTAAAAAAAAATCGAAATGCCGTGTACACCATTTATGAGCATTTCGTTATGGTAAAGTTAGACTAATGTATAACCAGTTTATGACACTTTTAGGTTTCCGCCGGTGGGTCAACAGTAAATTTATGAACTTACAATGCTAAAATCCATGGTGTAGCTTTATGCTGAAAAATATCAAATAAAGATAGTTAATTAAGTTATCTCTAAAAGTGTTTTATTTTAAGGTTTAAAGTTCAGATAGGTGGAAGCGGCCAAAAGAAAGAAAAAAAGATACATAATTCACGCAAAAAATGTTCTGACTTACATCCACAAAATTGGATTATTTGTGAAATACATTGAGGTTCTAGACGGGTCACACAATTTATTAAACATTTTCAAGGCCCATATACTAATTTTAGCAGGTTGAATGCCATTCTCTTCGAAATAAGTTGTTCTATAACAGTACTTTAAAATATAAGTCTAGGGACTTTTCACAAATTAACAGATTCATAATATGCAACTTACAGTATGTAGATCTGACAAAACTGCAAGCATCAAATTTTTAGTTTTCACCACAATTAATTAAGATATTTCGAAAACATCAGATAATTATATATAAATTATATATATTATTTTATAAACATTGGAATCATTTTAGTATAGCGATATCAATACCTACAAGGCTAACGTGCTTATTATTAGCAGGTCAACTAAAATTGTTCTGCAGGCCAGATACAACCTCCGAGTCACCAATTGTTCATGCCTGAGTCATATTATGAAAACTTTATGATTTTTAGTACAAGAGCTAGATTAGGTTAGTTTACATTAGTTTCTTAAAACTGCTTTATTTGAAAGGGTTGTTGGCTGGATTCTTTAGCATAAAACTACACAATGGTCTATCTACGTTCTGTCTACTGTGGGGAAATTGAACCCCGAATTTGAACATATGAAATTATGTATCTTTATGTTGAATACACAGGGAGTTTGAAAGTGACGTAAGAACTGATAATTATTGTAATTCTGTTTTAAAAAATAACTAAATGAAACGTACCAATACAAGAATCGTGTAGAAAAATTATGTCTTCCCAGTCACGCAAACTATTTGTGCGCAAGTCCTGCATCATGTACAGAAGGTTCGAAAATGACTTCATGTCTGGAATTTCAATAGCTTGATCTCTTAACAGTCGTGGGCAGGGATGTAGATGTAGTGCCACGTGTAAAACTTCTGGAAAAGAACTTTTGAGAATGTTGGATAGCTTGCTTGTAGAAACACAGGAGAGGAAGCTGATAATAACTACCAATAGGTTTGCTGAAAAAACAACAACAAAAGCAGTCCAGACACTAAAAAAAAACAACAAAAAAAACAAACAGTTATGATCGTTATCTCTAACTTGAAAATGTATTGCTCATAAAACGTGGGTAAGCTGAAATTTTTACATGTGCTCGTTTCTTATTTGTATATTATAAATATTTCACTGGAAGTTTATACAGAATGGCCCAGGAAAAAAGTACATCTAAATGTTTTAAATTACCTCGTACAAGAAGTTAAAATTTCTGGTAAAAGGCGAAAGGTGTTATGTTTTAATAACTTTATTTCAAATATAATAATAAAACAAAAGGAAATGTTTTAAGCACGCGCTACTATATTTCATATTCGAATATTGTAATACATTACGCCCTCGAAGTGGATTCCTGAGCTATGGTGTAGGGCTATTGTCATTCATTTTCTAAGCCTGGGAAGAATCCTAAGACACCTATTTATAGAACTAATGCTTTTACCAGCTGCATCTGTAACGTTTTGAAGAAGATGGTTAATGCTTATCTTGTTTGATTCTTTGAATCAAACAATTTTCTTTCATCCATATAGTGTGGCTTCTGCAATCATTGATCTAGTGTGGACAATCTAATTCAACTTGAAACGTCAATCAGAAAAGCCTTCCATAGGTGTGAGCATCTTGTTTGTGATCTTGAGAAAGTTTATTATACTAC